CTCGCCACAGTGAACGCGTGTCTGCGGGTGTCCGGTGAAGCCGAGGAAACCCTACAGTGCTCCCGAGACCGAAAATGATGACCAGATATGATAAATAATTCTGAGAAGAACATTCAGTGACACGGAATGATGTCAATAAGCGAAGGAATCTTATCAATACAAGAGCGGTGACTATTGCGAAGGAGGATATCCGAGTTTGGAAGCTGAAACGGAAATGGAACTGTGCAGAGGGAAACGGTATCCAACCGACGGATGAAATGGGGATTTTGCATCCATCCACATATCCACATCCACAAGCAGTGCTTGATAGCCGATCTCGACGAACACGGACTGTGGATTGCTAAGATCATGATTTGATGATTAAGACGATGGGATCCAGCTGAGGTAAGGCGGGAGGGATTTCGGGGAGTTCCCATAGCTGGCTTAGCTAAGCGCCTTTCATGCGGGGGTGACCTTGCTCGGGAGAAGGTGGAATTAGAGGTGGAATTGGGGCACCTTCCTCATAGGGATCACTTAGTGTTTATGCCAAAAATGATAAAGAGTGGTCATCGATGTAGAGATGAGGGGAAGTGCTCGGAGTTTGGGGCGAGGGATGGCCCAAAGGAGCAAGCGATGGGTCGGTGCGATATGTACGGGGCGTACGAGGAACGAGGCGCACTAGAAGTCTGTGGAAATTGGCGCCTGGGTTTTGTTTTTGTGTCTTTTTGTTGGTCGGAGTGGGGTTGCTCGTCGGGATTTGTGGTTTGTCTTTGTGTCTTTCTGATTGATTAGATTTTCTATTATTCATAAAAAGAACCCATGGCGGTAATCCGGGAGTATACGGGTAAAGTGGCTTTGCCGGGTGAAAGGGTATGTGAGTCAGAGTGTGAAAAAGGCCGAGATGAGATTTTGAACGATCCCATCTCTTCAATCCGGGAGTTTGGCCACTCAACCATGCCCCATTCAACAAGACCCACCTGTTCACTCAGCTATAAATCTCACTCTTTCAGTTCTACCCCGATTCTCCCGCCATCGACTCATCCCCCTCTTCCGTCCACCCACCAGCCCTCATCCCCTCCATCCAAGTTCAAATGTCCCCAACCTTTCAATACGATCTTCCGATGCGTCTATCCCACCCATTACCTCCCAAGCGCCACTTCTCCAATTATCGCCAACCAAAGGTGGCAGATGTCTCTCGCCTACTCGACCCTTCCTACCTATCAGCCTCTGCATCATCCTCTCCCACTTCCGTCTATGCCGACACAGATGGGAATCTCCATGATCCAGACTACCGACACTTTCCTGTTGTGAATACCGTCTCTCGCCGTCCTGCTTGGGAGCGAGGCGGTGACGATGATGAAGACGACGCCGAAGAATTCGATGAACGTGCACGCCTCCGCAGTGCCTCGCCTCGCGAACGTCGTCATGCTCGCTATTATGCCTACGAGCAGCCTCTACCCTACGCCCGTCGATCTTTCGAGGAGGCCATTGAAGAGCGGCCGCGCTCCACACGCGTTCGTCACAAGCTCCGCTCGAGGAGCCACTCCCCCAACACTATGAGACCTCTCAGGGGATAGTGGATGAGCCCGGCGTCATTTCATGCCCTCCCAGGGAGGATCCATACGTGCCAATGCACCAGCAGGTGCCTGATTGGACGTGAGTTGTCTTTTATTTTGGTCGCCTTTCATCCCACCGACGTCATGCCACCTCTTCTAGTCCCACATGTAGCCAGCAGATCCGCCGTCACTGGCAAGCACTCAGTCTTAGCGTTCGTTTCTCAATCTTCCGCGTACAGAGAAGACTCAAGCGCAAATTTGGTGCTTGACCTCGAACGCGCGCCCCCCTTCCCCTCACTTTAAACCGACATTGTCTACCATGACATCGTCAATTATGGTTCCCACCACGGGCTATCGACTGTCGTATATCCTAGCTGGGCACAGGGATTTTGTCGCAACACAAATCCCGGATGGCGTCTACCGCCTTATCTGCTTCTGCAAACGAGTCATTCAGCTCGACCAGTCCTTCCCCCACGTTCTGCCGCTGATACCCATTTACGATACATACAGTTTCGGCTCGCGTCTCGTCAGCTCCAACATATGATTATCTTTGGCTCATTCATCCCCATCATCTTCAAAATGACTCGAGCTGTCATTATTCACTGAGCATCGCCTCGTCTCTACCCCCCCTCCCCCCAAGTCACATTCTCATGACATCACGGTCATCACTAGTTACCCTTGTTTCAGCAATTGCTTTACTTACACGGTTATGTTTTCTGGGCATATGTGGCCCTTGCTTTGCCGGAAGAATGAATTAAAGAAATCGTTTAACCTTTGAGGACGTGCGATAGATGCGTGCTTGCAATCGGGGCTCCGAGATTTGTATAGAGAGTTGTCATTTTCGTGGAGATGATGACGTCGAGCTCTGTGCGCACCGCCTATTACCTTTCACATGTCTTTCCATATTCACCTGCTCCGGCGTAACGGAAATTTCTACCCATTTGTTCAGCGTAACCCAAGTTGAGGAGTTAAAGGGGGACCTCATGACCCATATCGTACTGCCTTTGGTGGAGGGCGGTGGCGTTCCGTGCTTCCGCAGGCATGCCGCACCGGCATTTGCCTGGCCCGAGGGCACGAGCGACGCGCGGGGAAGCGGCATACGTGGCCCTTGCGGTACTAGTCCTTTCATGGGTCTTAAATTTTGAACATTTCTCAGCCTCGCTGCTCGCCTCGAGTTGAAGCGAAAATGGAAGATTTGATTCCCCTACGATGAAAATAGCCCGGGGGTGGGTATTAGGGCGCGCGCGACCCCGACTCAAACCCTAGATCTCTCTCTCTCTCTTTTTTTTTTTGATCTCAAAGGCAGTGCTTGATAACGGGGACGGGGAGGCGAGGCGTGCAGGGGTGCAAAACTTTGTGTTTTTTTTTTTTTGAAAGCATGACCGATAATACCGGATCGAACAAAGGGACCGCATCTCTGTCCACCTTTGGGTAGGACCACGAAAGGAAAAAACTGTCAGTTCCCTGCTGTGCTGAAGCCCCTGCGCAATACACAACTTGCAACCGTTTTACTGCGAAAGCTGCGCGTAAGGGTGGCGAGGCGTCGCGGCCTCACCATAATCCTCCTTGACATACAAAACCCCTGACTACGTACATCAGCATCAGAGCGGGTACAGTACAAATTCTTTCTAATCCGCTTCTCCCGCCTCTCCACCACCAAAACGATGAGAACAACACATGAGAACAAGAGCATGTGATGTTCATTATTCATCAGTGGAACTGCGCAACGAACGATGCTCAACAAATGTGGCGCGGGGCCACGCCAAATTTGGGTCACTGGAAGAATTCGTCAGCAATATTTGTCGTTTTTTTTTGGATACGCTTGGAGCTCGGCGCGAAGAAAACGCGAAAAGTGTCTCTAGATCAGTAAAGCACCATTCATGAGATAGCGACGTTTAGCCGTTGAAGCAACCATGGAAATCATGGTTGAGGATCAACGCGTAAGCGATGTCATTGGTTGCGGGGGCGAAGGGACCACTCCTTCGGCTTCACTCGGGGGCATAGTGCGGAAAACTCGGTGCAGAGAGAACGAAGCCCCTCTTCTTTCGAGGACCTTTTCGCGCGCAGGCGACTTGCGCAGAACTATTGAACATCCGAACAACCTTACTTCGGAAGGGGGGTGGGAGGGTGGGTACCGCCTCAAGAACGTACAGGTTCATAAGAGGACTAATTACAGAATCATCTGGGCTAGGTTCGCTCGCTTCCCAGCCAGCCATTTCTACCCTACCGGGGGTATTCATTCAGCGAGTGCCAAAGGCGTGCGGGGCCCCAGCGAAATAACCCTTTGGGGGAGGGTAAAGGGTTATTTCTGCCAACAAGATCGGCGAAAACACGCGGAAAAATGCAGGTATAACGGAACGTTCAGAGTGGAGCATCAAAGCGAAGATGTGTAGCGATGAGAAGGGTGTGTGTGTGGACAGCCATTGGTCTGAGTTACCAAGAACCGTTTATGCATATATTCATGAACCAAACGATCAGAACAGAATCGGAACACGAGCTCGGACGACCGAGTCACCCGAGGGGTACTACTGTACGTAGAAGATGCGTCGTACTGCATCACCGAGTAAGCGCGTCGCACAGATAGGGAGGCCGCTCGGTCAACGCCCATGCACGTTCATGAACGATCGTCAGAACGGGGTCAACAAGGTCGGACGACCGAGTCACCCGAAGGATGTGCGCACAGCCTGAGTAAGCACATGGCACAGCCTCATTCATGCACACACCCCCTTACCATCCGCATCCCCCAATCCGTGAAAGACCTACAGTAACCAAAAAAGCAAACCCAAAATCGTGACTCAGGAGGCACCACTCCCCCCCCCCTGAATCCGCCCGCATTCGATGGGGGATGACGATGAAAATGGATTTAGAACTCCAGGGTGGAAACACATTTGTGGTGTTCGCGATATAATAGCACCGGAACTTTGTGCCAAGGTCCAGCGAGTGGCACACCAATGCCCATTTTAGAGCTCTCTCCTGGGTAAAACGTGCCTATACGGCTAAAAAAGGCAACAGCATCCAGCACCTATCGGCCACAGGCCGGGGGTCACATGTCGGGCAAAGGAGCTACGATTTCCCCACAGGGGCCACATGCTGTTGGCACTTGATGGAGGGACCATGAGAAGAGAATGTCGTACGGGAACAACTCGGAAGCCAGAAAGCGGCTAGTATTGAGAAAAGGAATCGTTCGGTTTTCTAACGAGACCGTCTAGATGAGCTTTTAGAGGTTAAGGGGCGGAATCGGAGAATCAACCATCTCAGTATCCCGATAAGCAAAGATATCGCTGACCGGATCTGTCAAGTTCGTACTTTGTGCTCAGGAACCTTAGAAAGGACACCTGAGAAGCCGTGGAGCGCGGGGAGCTCGGAGGAAAAAAAAAAGACAAGAAAATCAAACACAAATTTGAGTTACCGAAAGGATGTAAATCACCCGCGAGGGACGGAAACTTGACGGATCAGAAAAAGGAACTGCCCCAGTGAGGCTCGAACTCACGACCTTCCGATGTCAGTCTTCTTCATGGATAACAGTCGGACGCTGTAACCAACTCAGCCATGGGGCATACATATATCATAGAAATCTAAAGTATATCAACTAGCCCGTGAGAGCTGGGATGTATCATTTAGGTCTTCCGAGTCTAATGTCTTTGTGAAAGTACTGGAGTAGGATGTCCCCCAATCTTGCGAATGGCATCGAATCCCAACAGCCACAAAGAAGCCACCGGTTTTGGTTTGACGATGGCTCTGTTCTCGTTAGCTTGGTACCATCAGTATACAAGGTCCACAAGTCGATTCTTGATCGACACTCAACCAAGTTCGCATCTTGGCTACTCGACGCTACAGATCCTGCCGCTCTCACATTATCGAGAGCTCTCAATCACGCAAAAATACAGGTCATTGCTATCCCAGGCGATCAGCACATCGCGACCGAAGATTTCGAGACGTTGTTGGCGCACTTGTACCACGACTCGTAAGCGCGTTCGTGCCTTTCTGGCCTTGGTGAGACCGTTTCGTGGGGTGAACCTAACACACCACATTCATTCACGCAGTCCTTTGAGACATGAGAGCTCATTCCACCAGCTGTCCTGCATTTTGCGGGTGTCATCTCCCCAGCAACTCGGTTTGACCTCTCTATTCGAGCTGGCCAATCGTGATCTTGTGGCTCTCTTTCCCGGTGGACCTGCACCATTCACCCATCGACATCCTACCGAATATCTGGAAGAAGCGCTAGAGCTTGCTATGCAATATGACATTCATTTAGAGGTATTGCCGATCGGCGGCGGCGGTGGCGAAATGGGCTTTCATTAATGATCCGTTCCGCAGACCAAGAAGGCGCTGCTTTATAGCGTCGCCACTTCAACCAACTTTGATCCAAAGGGCGAATATGATCCTTCCGGCCCAGGAAGTGACGATACACCGGGCTCAGCCGCACCGCACCTCGCACTTTCTCCGCGCACACTTCGTATCTGCCATCGTTTGCTCGCTTCGCTTATCGCGGACTTTACGCCCGTACTATTCACCGTCGGTGCTGCATCGCACATGGCGTGCACGGACATCGTTGCGGATCGCTGGATGAGCGATGTGATTACCCCTGCGCTCGCCGACGGCGGGGTGGGGCGGCCTCTCGAGACCCTCGCTCGCATCACGGCCTGGCCCTGGAATGAGAAGGGTGTGTGTGATGAGTGTGTGGAGAGTATGAGGGCAGAGTGGAGTGAGATGGCGAACAAGGTCTGGGAGAAGGTCAGTGGGTGGGTTGAAGAGGCCGAGCAGGAGTTTTGCAGGGACTAGACACGTTTTCTAGACGCTGCCTGAGATATACGAATGACAAAAGATGTATTCCACGGGTTGCGCTATCCGTATCTCTACACAATTCCTTCTTCCCGAAGCTGTGAGATATGCTGCGTATCATACCCCAGCTCACACAATACCTGTTCATGTTTATTAAAAATCATCCACTAGTGAGTAGGTCATGATGTGGCCGCACCTCGTCGGTATGCTCGGAAAGCCATGGCGGAGGTCGGGTCACTGGCATCTTCATTCCGTTGTATGTGACAGCGGGTGCCAGCAACTTGATCTTTCCTGCGCGCGGGTGCTATGCGCGATTTGAGAAGCTGTATGAAAAGGGGGACAACCTAAGGAATCCTTACTTCGACTTCCACAACTACACCACGTGCAATTGCTTGAGGGTGGTCGAACGTCTGCTGAATGTTATTGATAGGGCCAAATGGCACGCTGAAACTACTTAGTTTCGTGCCCGTAACCGCCTGAATCGACGCTTACCCGAGTCCGTCGAATAAGCTAAGCCAGTGATCCAGGGGTTCTTGCATAAGCGTCTCCGTGATAATCTTCACCAATAGCTCACGATTGGCAACTCTTGCGCTATTTGTATCAAACCTGGGATCACAAGCCAACTCAGGCTGACGAAGGACCCTTTCTGCGAGGAGTTTGAACTTGAGAAAGTATTTTAACCATATCGAAATACGTGAAATGGTGAAACGGCTGCACCTGTTTATCACTACCAGCGCCAATCATCAGATATCCGCCTTTGCAGGCGAATACTTGGTAAGGGACGACCGAAGGATGTGCTGTGCCGTGTCTCTGCGCTTCTTTTCCTGCAATGAGATAGTTGGACGCAATGTTCGCAAGGCCAGCGATCTGGTGATCCAACGGGGTCGGATGGCTACGAATACTCCGCGTCTAAGGAGACGCACCTGTGACTGGAATAGGTTACAGTCGATCCAAACACCTTTACCCGTCTTCTGGCGGGAGATAAGAGCAGCCATGATGGCGCCGTGAGCATACAGACCAGTTGAAATGTCAGTCACGGCAACGCCGACTTTGGATGGGGGGCGGTCAGCTTCGCCGGTTCTGAGGTAGAGTCAGCATCTGCCTATGCATTCATGTCGAGACATCTCACTCCTCATACTCACATGTACATAAGCCCGGCTTCACCCTCGATTACGACGTCGTAGCCTGGTGCAGTTCTGTAGGGCCCTGTTTGCCCATAGCCTGAAACATTGAACGTTAAAGAAGGTAGGAGCCCGCTAAGAGAGAACGTGCCAGTGATGGACGCATAAATCAACCTGTCATTGATAGCACTGCAATCCGCATAACCCAGGCCCATGGAATCCAGTTTCCCGGGGACAAAATTCTCCGCCAAAATGTCTGCCTTCGCGACGAGTTTATGTAGTATCTCCAAGCCTTTTGGTTTCTTAAAGTTTACCGTGATGGAGCGCTTGTTTCGATTCACGGCGAGAAAGTATGCAGATTCGGGTGGCAGGTGGGAAGATGCTTTTGGCACGTCTTTAGACAATGGAGCAGCAGGAGGATTCCATGACCCTGTTCGGTCTCAGTAAGTATGCATATATAGAGGTGAATTAAATGATATTTTGCTCAACGTGTATCATCGCCGCGATTTACTTCCTCGACTTTGATGACGTCCGCCCCAAGGTCTGCGAGGAGCATTGTTGCTGTTGGGCCAGCAAGGATGCGGGTCAAGTCGAGTATTCTAATTCCCCGTAATGGGGGTTCGATACCTCCACCATATCTTGAAGGAGATGAAGAAGAAGAAATGCACCTGAGAGTGGAGAAAGGCAGACGGTAAAGCTTGGGTCGTAGTGCCATTAAACGGCCCGAGGTTATTCGTCTGAGCCTCCGTCTCTGTCTCCCCGAGACCACCACGACGGTCCTCCCAACTCGATACCCATTAAATTATTATGGCTAATACAACAGGTCCCTCTTTCGTACAGCTAACACATCTCTTACAATCGACTTCCTACCGCCTCGTTTACGCACTTCCTCTTATCGTCTTGTCTTGTCTTCTCACCTTTGCAGGTGCCTTCCTCACCCTCGATCGCACTCGATCTTTCCAGCCACGCAGCGATCTTCCCGGATCTTACAACCTTTCGACGAAACCAAAACGTGTTCGTCTCCACCTTCAGAGTGGCCTTGGTGGTATAGCCATCGGATACTCATTTGGGCGTACGTTCGTCTATACTCAATGCTTCAATGTCGCTGAAATTTCCCCAGTCCATTTATCAACATTTCTCGCACTTGTCGTACCTTATGAAAAGTCATCCACGCCTTTGGGACCAAAGTCCTTCTTGGCTGTTTGGATCTTCACCGCCGTTCCTTTCGCCATATTCTCCGGTCTCTTCAAATACGCCGCTCTTACGCTCATGGGTATTACTGGGGGGTAAAGATCCACTTAATTCGTTTCCACATGGTCATCGTATCTCACATCTTTCGTCCTAGAACGTCACTGGCCCTTGCCCTGTCCATCACGATTCATCCCAATCTTTTGGCACGACGTGTCTTCCTTGCACTTCTGGTTCCTGTCTGCTGCATTTTGACGGTACTTCCTGTTGTGCGCACTCAACGTGGTTCCATTCGGCTGGCCGCCGCTGCAACTGGTGCATTCGGCTTGACCTTGTCAATTGCCCTGTTCGCGCATGTCCCATCCTGGTCAAATGTTTGGGAGCGCCTATGGATCGCGAACGGAAATGGGTGGGGTGTCGGGACAGAACGGGCTCTTAGCGCCTGTTATTGGCTCATCCTCATCATCGGTTGTTCCACAGATTGGGCCCTTAAGAGGTTTTGCGGAGCGAATCCTGACGAGGTATGCCTCATGCCGTTGTATCTAGACTAACCCTTGACCGAGTGATGCAGGAATGGGACACTTACCTTACCGAATACGCTTCTTCGTTTCCCAACACCCGTGACCGTGCGGGCATCTTCCGCCCACTTTCATACAGTTTCTGGGATCGACTTTTCCCCTGGATGCATCGGCCAAAACCATCTGCCCCGTCTGATTATCCGTTCCCCGTTGATATGAAGCACCATGTCTCTCCACAATTGTCTTTCGATTATACCCTTCAAGGTACTTCTTCGGTGGACCGACTGGTGATGCCAAAGACTTTTGCATCTGATGCATCATCTCGTCCTTTACGACAGCAAAGTCAGGATCCTCTGACCCGCATGCGTGGATTAAGGAGCACTAAAGGTCACGGCTACCGCAAGCGCGAGGCAGTAAAGTTTGGCGCAATGAATCCCGACAGTTCTAGTTCAGAGGACGAGGACGACCCATTGTCTGTCCTGCCGCCGCCACCTGCGCGTCGCACCTCGACACGTTCTAGTGTGACCCTTACTAATGGGTCGAGCGCGGGTTCACAATACGTCTCCCTTGCAAAAGGAGATTTGGGGATTGCTGCGGCTGCGAAACGCACTGCTTTACAAAGCAATAATGATGGTACACCAGAGTATTCTGATTACGAGGAGGACGTGACCAGCATTCGAACGCGTTTACGTGAACACCGTTACTCACAAGGTTGGAGACCACCGGTTCTTGCGTCGCACGACCCGAACACTGCCAGCTCTGCGAACTTAGTTGGTACAGTGCCAATGACGCCGTCCCTCATCCGAGCGGTGGATCGCATCGCTGCTGCTCAAACCCAGGCATATAGACCAACAGATCCAACGACTGCACGGGATCCTGATGATCACACGGACAGCGCATCGGAGCAACGATGGGGTTCTTTTTGGCGGGACGTGGCTACTAAGGCGA